TTCAGCCCAATAGACATTTATTAATGTATCTCCCATGTGCCAGACATTTTCTAGTTGTTGGATTTACAAAGATGAGTAAGATATACCTTCCTGCCTTTGAGTTTAACCTAGGGTGAATGAGAGACACAGAAACAGATCATTTCAATTGATAATTAGCTGTAAGATGGAAGTAAGGATGGGGCTTTTTGGGATCACAGATGGAGGGTAATCAAGGGGAAAAAAGAAGGTTTTTTGGGGAAGACATGAGCTTTATAAAGCCTGTGATGTCTCTCAGAGGACAAATGGGTTGATCTCCTTATTTCAGGGACAGAGACCCAGCTCACCTTCAATATTTATGAGAATTTATTGCCTGTAAAGTTTGCAAGTGGGTTTGGCTCCAAGTGAGGCTTGATGCACTGGCTCAAACAGTGTCTTCCATGGCCCTCTTTTAACTGCACCCTGGTAAAAGCCAAATGGCTTCTGTGATTTCAGACCCTATCCTCCTCACATATTACTCCCCAGGGGAAAGAGTAAGTCTTTCTCTAGTTTCAGCTCAGTTTAGGGATTTAGTTTCTTTCATTGGCTGTAAATTATAACCATCCCTAACCAAGCACTGTGACTAGTGGGATACTAATTAGTTTACATAAGTCAGGGCCTACTTACCCTCAAGCTTAGGATGAAGTCAGTCTCGTTCAAGTCTCATGGCTGAATATGGGAGGACAGGGGAAGGGATGACTGGGAGGCATCCAGCAAATGTTCATTATACCAGGAGAAGAAAAGTGTAAGTTTTTTTGGGAAAGGTAATAATGTAGGCAAAAACAAGGAAGTATGCACCATCATAATGTGTGTAGGAATAGCAAGTGGTTAAATATTAATACAAGTGGTTAAATATTAATACAACATGTAGTACAAGACTTAGAAAATAATTATAGGATAATAATATGATACACTGTTTACCACCTGCTTCCATATATTACTTCATTTAATTCTCACAACAGCTGACTAAGGTAGGTACACTGTCTTGCAGGTAAGAAAACTTGAGCCCAAACTCACAGCTAATAATTGATAGAGCTGGACTCAAACTCAGATTATCTGACTCTAGAGGCAGCCCATGTGGATGTTACAGTATATTAAGTACTTTCCTCTATATTGCTAGAGTTTCAGGAAATAAGACTTCATATATCATGCTAAGGAGCCAAGTTTTCTCTGGGGCTCAACTTTTCTTCAAGCTCTAGCTCTTTGTCATACCATGTGAAGACAGTGGTTTCAAACTTTAGCATGCATCAGATAGCCTCTAGGGCTTATTTAAGCCTAGACTTGCTGGGCCTTAAGATCATAATTTCTGATTCCGTAGATCTAGAGTGGGACCCTAGGATTTGCATTTCTAAGACATTCCTAGATGATGCTGATGCTGGTGGTCTGGGAGCTACACTTTGAGGACCAGTTCTTTAAGTTTCTTTGGGAGACTGAAGATTTGTTGTTCAATGACATTCAACATATTGAAATGAACTCACATTTTACTGATACTTCTTGGAAGTATACATGCCCTTACCTCACATTTTATAATAATACAGAGAGTATATTTTATTACAGTAATATCCTCCTCCATAAGTCAAGGTCATTGCATAAATGTTTCATTGATTGGATTTCTTCTGCCTTTGATTCTTGACTCATTAAGATTAAATTTGTAGTTCTCCTAGGTCCCACATAATTTGCAATGCTAAGTTCCCTCCTTGATGGTTAAAAAAGTGCATTTGTATACAAAAGGAATATATTTGAATACTTTGTCTATGTTTTTATTGTGAAAAATTTAAATATCAGAAAAAGTAACAGAAACACCCATATTTCCACCATTTAGAGTCAACAATTGTAAATGTATATACATGTATACACATACTTTTTTTGATGAGCCATTTGAAAGTAAGTTACAGGTCTTGTGCCACTCACTTCACTTCTAACTATTGCAGTGCACAACTCCCTATAAGAATATTGGGTAATCACCATATCATGATCACATTTAAGAAAATTAACAATTCCTAATGTTATCCAACATGCTGTCATATTCCAATTTCTCCAGTTGTTCCAATGTCTTCTATATATGATTGTTTTTTGATACTAGAATCCAGTCAAGTAAAACTGAATTTTAAGAGTCAGTAAAGCTGAATGGATCTTTTTTTGTTTTCATTTTTCTAAATATATTTTATTCTATAATTTAAGGAGAGAAGGACACATAAACACATAGGTCCCAAATATACATCACTCTGTACAATCACTCATTTTTCTCTCTATTCTACAATCCAGATTAAAACTCTTAATTGATCATTTTGTCTTCCAATTAACATCTTTACAAGTGAGAGTCCAACTGTATGATTTACATTAATCAAGGTTTGATGGTAATTATGCATATATATATATATAAATATAGGATTTCTTCAAAGCTGAATGGATCTTTAAGCTCAGATAAGTTCTGTGTTATTTAAGGTACAAGTTTGATTGCTTTAATAAAGACCCAACTTAATTAAGGAAGATGTTTATTTCTGTCATATTTAACCACCTGGAGATAAAGTGGTCCAGAACTGGTAAGAGGCTCTACTGTTCTCAATACTGCTTCTGTCTCTGAAGCTAAGATAGCTATTCCAGCCCTACCATCATGCTGGTAAGATGGGAAGGTGGTGCATACTCAGTCCTTTTAAGGATATGTCTGAATATACATATTATTCTGCTCCCATCTTATTGACAAGAAAGTAATCACATGATGTGTCTGTAATAGAGGCCTGGAAATATAGGCTTTATTTTGTCTGGATGGCCATGTGTCAGAAAATATGGCTATTGGGGATCAGTTAGTATCTGTACCACAAGTTCTTTACTGCAAATGACTGAGCTATATATACCAAAATGTATTAAATTCATTTACTAACTCCTAGTACATTATAATATGACATTTCTCTTCTTGAGACATATAGGGCTAATAATGTTTCCTAAGCTGAGCCCTGTTACTCTTTTTTGAATTATTTGATACATAGTTTATAGATGTTCTATTGTCTTTTTGTTAGGGCATAGCTGTCACTGTTCACAGTATCCTCATACCTTTTCTAATTTGTTATTTTCTTTTCTCTGGGCTGGGGAAGCAGGTAATGATAACCATCATAATAATGCTATGATGTACTATGCTTATTGTGTGTTTTATGCATGTAATGCAGTATTAGAGACTATTAAGTCTATCTCTAACTTTAGGACTCTGATGCAAATACATTCATTTTACAAATGAGGAGGATGAAGCTCCTGGAATATCAGTAACTTGTTAGGAGAACTACAATTGTTAGTACCGTAATTAAAATAAGAATTGATACCCAAAAAGTTGCATGATTTTCATTACAAAGTCTTTGCAGTGTCTATTTTAACTATTTAGAGGCATGGTTATACTTTTTCATTTTTGCTGGGTACAGACAGGAAGTTTGCTAAATAGTTAAATTCTGGATAAATCAAGTGTTCTATCTAAATATACCTCTGTGAATACACTTGTACAGCATGCATACACACACAGCATGCACACATATCATACCTTTTTGGGGAAATCTTTAATAAGCATAGCAGGTAAAGAATAGATTAAAAATCTTTAAACGGTGACTGCAAAACCTACTATGCATTGTAAAAGAATCTGAACATAGAGAAAATATTCTTCAAAATGGCATTAGTATGAACAATCTGTTTCTCTCTAGAGATCCCAGAGTGCTTCAGATGTGGTTTTAGTGAACATGTGCTAAGACAATATTCGACCTGAAGTATCTCTCAAACTATTAAATCTATTGAGTCAATCAAGATGGGGTAGAGTATATTGCAGTAATAAACACTGCAAAATCTCAATTGTTTCTTTTTTAAAAAACTCCTTGGCAACTTCTTTTCCTTTTTAAAAATTGCCTTTTTGTCCATAGCTAGGAACAATAAGAGTGTCATCCATTTCTATGCAGTTAATTTCTTTTTGAGCAAAATATTCTTTACATTTCAAAACTTATACTACATTGGCACTAATATTCAATATGGAATAGTTACTACAGGACTTACTATATATGGTAAATATGAGTTAGAGAAGACTAATTCGAAGATTGACTTTTTATTTATTTCTTCAGTGAGTAGCTTAATTTTTCTTTGACATAGTTCTTCCTTATATAATACATTATAGGATACACTAATCACCCTAGCAGAACATGAAAAATTACAGTCACTAGATCTTTCTCAGATTAGGGATACTATACTGTCCCATAGAAATCATCATCATTATCATCATTTCAGTATATTTTAAGAACTATGAATTTTGTAGTTAATACTAATAGACTAATAGCAGAAGACTCTTCAAAATCAATCTATAGTTTATGGCAATCAGTGATTAGTATTTTTCAGTAGTAGTAGTTTTCATTGTCGGCGGTGCTGAACACTGATTTGTATAAAACTGGGTGCTTAACACATGTCTGTGGATTTGGCCTGCTGTGTTTGATACCTAAACCATTTGAAAGTATGGGGCTGACATACTATGAAGAAGAGAATTAAGCTCATGCAGAACAGTTATATTTCTGGTTTTGCAATAATTTCTGATTTTGGTAAAAATAATATCTTGCAAAGAGTTGATTTCAGGGATTATCTTGAGCTAGAGATTTTAGCTCAAGTAAATTAAAATAAATATTTAAAATTATAGACATCTTCTGAATAATTAAGAAATTGGGAAATGTATATATATACTGACATACAATAATCTGATAGCTTTATCAGTTTGCAATTTAAAATTTAAACTGCTCATTTTGCCCCTTGGCAAATATTTGTGGTGAATAGTGGTAAATTAAAACCATTATAAGTGGGGAGGGTATAGCTCAAGTGGTAGAGCACATGCCGAGCATGCATGAGGTCCTGGGTTCAACCCCCAGTACCCTCTCTAAAAATAAACCTAATTCACCCCCCAAAATAATTAAATAAAACCATTACATTTATAAAAAGAATAGGTCACCTAATTTCCTCTAATTCTTTTTTAGGTCGAGATTTAATTTGTATCCAGTCTATGGATGGGATGCTGATGGTGTTTGAGCAGGAAAGCTATGCTTTCGGGAGATTTCTCCCTGGTTCTCTTTTACCTGGCCCTCTTGCTTACAGTTCCCGTACAGATTCCTTCATTACTGTTTCTTCCTGCCAACAAGTTGAAAGTTACAAGTAAGTTTGGAAGTTGAACCTTTGGAATCATGATTTTTGGTGTGTGTGCTGTTGGTAAATTCTTTTCCACAAAGAACTTTGAATATTATTGCAAATTAAAAAAGAGACTGGTTTCTTTGATTAAATGTAATTGTGGTGACTTAGAGGATATCATTTACATATCATAACATATTTGGAAGGCAGTATAGTGCAGAGATTGAGAGGAAGGATTTGGAGAGAAGCAGACTTGGGTTGGAATCCTGATTTTGCTACTCATAGCTGTTTAACGGTCAGTATCTTTTATTTTGGCTATAAAGGAAGTAATAATGGCTATTTTGACAAACTTGTTAAAAGCATTAAGTGTATGTCAAGTTGCCACCCCATGGAAAATGCTCAATAATTATTGTGATTGTTCCCTGAATTATAAATATTAAAACACAGTGTGAGTGAAAAAAAATCCAGATACAAATACATATGTAGAATGATTTTATAACAAAAAAAGAATATATGTGACATAGGAAGAATACTGACAAGAAATAGAAGTGTTGTTATGAATGCTTTTAAAAGAATGATTCACATAAGTGAAGTATGAAAATGACCCTATGAAAACAGCTTATACTTTTTGCTAGAAATTCTTACTGATTTTCATGAATTGTGTTTGAGAGAACCCTTTTCTCCTCTACCAGCTAAATTTCAATAAAAATTATCATTTTGAGTTTTTGAAGGCTGTGGTTTTTGTTGGGAGAACGAGAGACAAAAGTAGAAATCCATTTTGGGAAAAGAAATAGACTTGGAGAGTTACAATAACTTCAGTAACTGTATTATCTTACTGATGGCAGTATTTAGAACTTTAAATATCTAAGCAACACATCATTATATCTTTATCAATATTATTTTTGGCCACATGATTTTTCCCAAGGCAGGAGGAAAATGTAAATTTATCAGGCAACAGCTGTAAATTTTTGTCTTTAAGTTTTTTTTTGTATAATATATACGTTTTATATGTATGTGTATAATACACAATATATTTTATATAAGTATTACATGTTATATATAAAATATACAATATATGTATAAAATATGTATTCTTTACATTATATATAGCATTTTTTTTTATATTTTTTATTGATTCATAATCATTTTACAGTGTTGTGTGTCTTTAAGTTTTAATATTGTGTATAGAGCAAGTTAATGTAGTTTTCCCTTCATAAGAGATAATCTATGTTTTGAGAATTATTATTAAGGCACCTGGGATTCAAAACTCTGAAAATAAGCAAATGTTTATGACTAAGCAGAAGTGAACTGATGATGGTAATGTATTATTATGTCATATTCCGTCTACAACAACTATGGCTCTTGGCCAAAGGAGGTGAATGAATTGTGGCACTGCTACTGGTAATAGATAAAATATTATAATTATTTTGAGAGGCTGAGAAAAATATCTAAATAATTCATTCAAGCCTGACAAAACTTAAGCAATATTGGAAAGATCTGCTTTTCAGCTTTCCACCCAGTTCTGTGACTCAACTCTTGTCAAGTAGATACTAGCAGTGTTACACTGGGGTCACAATACAAAGATTTGAATGTTCCATGACTTACTCTTTGAGATATGTGCATAGGAATTAATTTGGTGATAACTCCAGGAGTAATTGGATGAGGAAGCAATGTGTAGGTTTTCTTAATGTATAAGTTTAACCTCACACTGTTTTAGCTGTGGTAATTCTCCAACATACCAATCTATTAAATTCATCTCCACCTAGATTACAAAATATGCACTTTATTTATTACGTAGATCTTTTGTAATGGTAAAAATGCATGGGATATGTAATTATTGTGAAATGATGACAATCAAGAGGGTTTATAACATTAAGTAGTATGTTGTATTTATATACACTTTCAAGTTTAATAGATTAAATGATAATCACTGGTGTAATTTAGGATGGAAGAAATCATGAATATTGTAAGTTTGTTCCTTGGAGGCTTCATTAAATCTATTTATAATCAGTTAAAGTGTAATCAGTTAGTAGAAAAGGCTTTTAAGACATAATTCTTTTTCATTTTTGATATTGGTATATAATTACTTTAAAAACAGATCAGTTATGTTCAGATAGGAACTAGAGAAAGTTGTGAGTCTCAAACTTTAGTGTGCATAAAAATCACCTGAGCATTCTTTTATAAAATGCACAATTGTAGATTCCCAACCCCCGAATCCACAGATTCTGATTTAGTAGGTTTAGGAAAAAGACCCAGAAATCGTCATTGCAAGTACACACTTCAGGTGATTCTAATTCAGGAACACACTTGAGTGTTGTTTTTCTTTTGAAGTGAGAGAATTATTTACCGTTTTTTTTTTTTTTTTTTTGCTAGTGGAGGGGCTTAGGTACCACCATTTCCTTGGCCATGTTTATCTAAACTTTAGATCATCTTTTATTCTCCTTTTCTTTCCTTCGCTGCTCAGAATTATTTAGTCAGTAAACCGTGACGTTTCTACTTTTTTCCCTCTTATTCAGCCCTTCCTTTCCATTCCCACTGGCATTCAGGCCTTTATTTTTTCTCTTGGATTTCTGGTTTTCTTACCTCTAATCTCGACTTTGAAGGGCCCTTCTTACATCTATTCTTTTTAAACACCTCTTTAAGCTGGAATAATTTTCGTTGTCCATTAAAAAAAATCTAAACCTTACATGACATTAAGTACTGTTTATAATTCAGTCCCATTTTTACCTGTATTAACTGGACTTTCAGATTTGGAAGGCATTTTTAAAATTAACAGGTTCAAATATCCTCCTTTTTTTCACCTCCTCGATATCTTATTGCCTAAAACACTGATTTTTGCACAATATTATATATTGCTTTTCTGTATTGCATTAAAATGTTCCGGAGTATATTTTGCATTATCAGGTTCCTGAGGGCAGAATCTATTTTAAGTACTTGTTCATTAAAGAAATAATCACTTCATTGGTTCAATAATTCATTCAGCAAACATTTTTCAAGAGGCTTCTCTGCCACACACTGCAGAGTACTGGAAATGCAAAGTCAGATATGATCTGTCTCTTGTCCTCCAGCAGTGTGCCAGCAAGCCGGGGAGGTAGCAACTCACCTGTTTCTTTTCATTATGATACAGGCTATAACATTGCTGTGCACAGGACACTGAGGAGGCCTAGAGGTGACACCTTTAAGTAACAGTTGAATCTAAGGAGGCTTCCTGAAGAAATATTTGTGCCATGAGTTTTGTCTTCCTCTCCTCTTTACTATACACTTTCCTCTGTACCCTTGCAGTGGCTCCTAATGCGTTGCTAAGTAGACAAAAGGCTTTAAATCAGTATTTTAAAATGTGTTTGTTGAATTTAATGGATAATATTTTAAAAAGAAGACTGTGTTCTTCACTAGCCTTAAGCTCTTGACAAGTTGAAATATTTGGTGTCGTCCATGTATATTCAGGGCTTCTGTCTTTCTCTTTTGCCCATGCTGTACTGTCTGAAATGCTCTTCCTTCCTTCTCTGCAAATGAAAATTATGAAGCCTCCCTGCTCCCCATTCAGTTCTTCCCTGACCTCTCTGTTAGTAGCATCTCCTCCTTCTCAATTCAGAGTAATTTTTCACTGCTTTCCGGAAGCACTATTCCCACTTTCACTGATATTACATATTTACATGTTTTTCTCCTTGACTAGGCTGAATGTTCCTTGATGGCAGGGATTTTGTGTCCTCTGAAGTGCCTAGCATTGTACCTCGCTGAAAGTGGATGCTTAACGAGATCTTGATGAAGGAGTGAAAATTTTATGAGGAAAACTTCTGTTTTGTTACTGGCATCTTTCAGTGAAAATGGTTATCCCTAGCATAATCAAGAATGTTTTAGCTATTGTCGGAAAGAAAATAGTAATGCTCTGTATCCAGAGCTTCCATTTCTAGTAGAGTTCTCCAGGTTAAATATGAAACTTCTAAAATCTCCTGGCACCTTTTGAGGTGACAGCTATTTTTCGTTTGAAAATAAATGATTTTGGAGGGTTTACTTTTGTGTTCTGTGACACCTCAATGCATATTTTAGTTACTTGCTGCTGTTTTTATGATGTGATACAGAAGAGCACTAAATTATAGATTGAGCTTGTCACTGGTGCTCCACAGGACCTGTTAAGCATTTGTTGCTATTGGGTCAAAAAGCACCACTGTTCACTTGGACTTGCTGTATTTGTGATTAGTGCCTTTCTGTTCTGAGAAACATGTATGACAATCTTTCATGAAATCTTATTACATTGGACCTGATTATTCTTTCAGCAGTCTCAACAAGGGCATTTTATTCTTTAGCTTATTATCACTGAGCACTTGAGTAGTAAGAAAAAAAACCCCAAGTGTTTTCTTTCAGAATTTTCAGAATTTCAGAATTTTCAAGTCTGCCTGGAATTGTTTGGTTTTGGAAATAGATTTCCATGTACATTATTGGTCACAGTTAAGAGGATTTAAGGAAGAACCATAAAATAGATGCTATTGTAAGTTTGTCATCATCTTAATTTATTGTCCGTTACGTTTAGTAATAAAATACTCATTCTGAGTTGTCCTCCAGGAAGAGAAATGGTCCGATTTAGAAATCAGGAGTCAGGCTGTGTCTCTGCTTGCTGTTTTCATGTTAATGAGGCCACTTTAGGGGTTCACTTATTCCTCAAATGAAGTAATAGCTCTTTGTTAATAAGAAGCTTCAAACAGCTCAAGAGCTTTGGATTTCTGTAACAATCTCATTAACATCCGTATCATCCTCCAGTAGGCTGGTGTCTACAGGAAATGAACTGCCTATGTAATTAATTGCCTGAGGTTAAATCCATAGCAAAACCAGCTCTGGGCTGATGTTCTAGTCATTGGTGCATACTATTTCTGCGGCTACAAACTGGGAAGAGTAAAACAATCCTATTCGGAGGTTGAAATGTGAGGTCTAATTATTTGGCACTTTTAGAGACTTAGAAATGTTGGAAGTCAGTCTCAGATGGTATGGAGACTTTTGCTGCAACTTCGTATGGAATTTTTTAGTATGGTTTTACAAGGCTGAGATCTTCACCCTCCTACCTTTATTGTCTCATTTCCCATGACTCATTCCTCTCTACCATGCCTCTCTCTTGCCCTGGCCTTTCATGTCTCTTTTACTGCTGCATGCCTTTGCATGTGCTGTTTGCTTTGCCTTAATGCCTTTTACCTCTTTAACAGCATGCCGAGTTTTCACTCATTCTTTAAAACCTAGCTTTCTCCTCCTGAACTGATACCAAGAACATTTATATTTCCTCCAGCCCAATTACCTGTTTCTGCCACCATGTTCCCTTAATACTATATGCATACCTTCTGTTAGCACAGGGCACTATGGATTACACTTATTTGTTTGTATATGAAATCTCCACAACTACTTTGGGAGGTCCTGGTGGATATAGACCATATGATAGTTTTTCCTCTTGTTAATGCCTATATGAGATCTCTACTATATGTTTATTGAATGAGTGAAATTTATATACATTAAGCTAACTGTAAGACCAATTTTTGTGAATGCATTGCAAAGTCTACCTTAATTCATAGTTATTCAGCATCCACTGAAAATTGGAGGCTTTTTACAAATGAAGTATTCCTGAATGAGGTAGGATGCTTTAAGAGTTGTTACATGACATTTGAATACCAGTGTACATTTCAGTGCTTATTGATATATTCCACACTGCCTTTATTCATTTAGGCCCCTGGTGTTCACACCATCAGACATCTTTCTCTTGGACAATATGAAATGTCTGAATATATCTGTTTTACTAATTTTCTTCTTAGCTATTGAAGAACAATGCAAGGTGTTTTGAATAAAGGAAAGGAATCTATGAGCCTGAAGTTTCTTCATTTTGAGTAGGATTATTACTCTAACAATATACCATTAATTAATGGGAAATACGGGGATTTAAACTTTATTGTCTAAATTAATCATCACTTAAAAATAGAGTGGTATTTATAAATTGTTTTTAAGACTGATTTAACTAAATGTTACTATTGAAATAAAAGCTATAAGATATTTATAGAAAGTCATAATGTTCATAATGTCCATTATTGAGAACTTATTCAGATAAGTGATCTCTATGTGTATATAAATCTGTATCTGTTTGTCAATCTATCAATCAGTAATTAGGGACCTAATATATACCAGATACTGTACTAGGCACTAAATTATTTTAAAATTCTTTCAATAATGTTTGAGTTAGAGATTATTACTCTCATTTTATAGGTGGGAAAGTTAAGACACAGAATGATTAATTTTTAAAAATTTACTCAACTAGTTAGTGGTTTAGCTGGGAATTAAACTCAGTTCTTCTGGGGTCCATAGATTATGTATTAATGATTTCTACTATTTTTGGTTGCTTTGCATTATTATTATTATTATTACTTTTTAATTTGGTGTTTTGATGCTAACTCTTTCTTGGTATTGTTGTCACATAAAATTCTAATAGAAGTGCTTTGATATTTGGCGGAGCTATTCTCCTAATATTGAATTTTGGGATATTTGATTATAATTTCTCTATCATTATAGTTTTGCATAGTCTAATGTCACAGTATCATTCTTATTGAATTCATTGCTAATTTTACAATTTTTATTTATTTATTTATTTATTTATTTATTTATTTATTT